GCACTAATAACGTAAGGTAACGCCTCCACCCGCGTCAAGAGCATGCATGCACGCAAGGCAAGAGGTAATGAGATTCCCTTGATGCTCGGCAACACAATTACAGCTCGGTTAGTCTAGGCGAGTCTAGCTGCAGGACTTCAATTGAAATGTACTCGAGCAGCCACAAGTAGAAAGTGGTCGCGCAACCACAAGTAGAAAGTACAGTACATCGCATGAGTTGAACCCAGGGCCTGGCATTTGATGTACGATGCCGCAGAATCTCGCCGTGCATTATACGACTGGGTTCGAGTTGTCGAGCTGGGTGCCAAAGGTATAGGGTTCGATCGTTCACAGCTTGTGGATAAAGTTGCTTCCAAGAGGAAACAACCCCACATTCAAAACGGTGCGTCCAGTACGGTCTTGCTCCACCAAAACGATAGGCCCCACCTGCATAATGCATTGTTCAGCAATCAACTTGAATCCCAATTTACTAAATCTCGCCCGTTCGTTTTCAATATGGTATTTTGTCAAGACAACGCTCTGCAGTCAAGTCGTCGTACTGTCGGAGAAACAACCGCGTCCATGATTTTCCATCAAACACGATGGGATTATTCCCGAGCGCTACGCGTGCGCTACTTTCGGCTGACTTATGAGAGGAAAAAGACTTGTTCTCATAAGGATTCAGAATTCTACGATCAAACAGCGTACTACGTCTTCTTCGCTTATCGCGGTGCCACTCTATAGTCACAAACACCTTGGCTGCCACCGCACGCACCCCAGACGAGGCACCGGCTGGGGAGATTAGACAGCCAGACCTTCCATAGCCTAACAGCCGCTCGTTGACAAATAAAACACAGATACCCCAACAGCAAACAGCGACAGTCCCGCCACCATATGTGTAGCGATCCCAAGTTCCTAAATCCATCCAGCGGCCGCATCAGCGACCATATCTCGCTTCATTTTCACATTGGCTTTGCCTCGACCACATCTCCCATGAAGCTCATCTTCCTCACCGCCCTCCTCGCCACCGCGTCGTCGGTCGTCGCGCTCCAAATGTCGGACACAGACCGCACCGCGCTCGCCAAGGAACTCGAGCAGTGGAAGTCGAGCCATGCGGGCAAGTCGGCCGAGTCGCTCGGTCTTCTTCCGTCCCAGAACACGGAAGAGGCGCTGACCGAAGAAGCCAAGCTCGAGGACGAGCTCACGCGCTTTGCCAACGCCAAGGAGGTCGTCGCCGACCTCAACAAGAAGCACCCGGGCGCCATCTTTGACTACAACAACCAGTTTGCCCTTCTCAACGCACACGAGTTCGAGGCGTACGTCAAGGGCTCGTTCAACAAGGAGCAGGCGCGCCGCGTTCTGCGCGCCGAGCGCGAAGAGACCACGCTCACGCAGTCCCAGATCGAGGCCGCCGACAAGGACTGGACGACGAGCAAGTGCATGCCGCCGGTCAAGAACCAGGGCAGCTGCGGCAGCTGCTGGGCCTTTGCCACCGCCGGCGCTTCAGCCATGGGCCACTGCATCGTCACGGGCAAGCTCCTCGACCTCTCGGAGCAGCAGCTTGTGAGCTGCGCCAAGAGCGCAGGCCAGGGTTGCCAGGGCGGCTGGCCCAACAAGGCGCTCGACTACATCTCGTCGACCGGTCTCTGCTCGGCCAAGGACTACCCGTACACGACCAGCGACAGCGCCTGCAAGTCGTCGTGCTCCAAGACCAAGCTCAGCATCGGCAAGACCGTCGACATTCGCGGCGAGAGCGCGATCCAGAAGGCGCTCGACACGCAGCCGATCTCGGTCACGGTCGAGGCTGG